CATGTGCAAGGCAACACACAGCTAGACAGGCACTTTTTTTTCTTTAATAGCTTCCTTTATGAGATACCTCGAGCTCTGATGGCGACTCGTTACCCGGGCTAAATGTATGGAAATCGTGCTGAGGCTGTTAAGAAGTAAAAAAACAAAACAAAACATAAGCTGCCTTTTTAGAACAGCGGCCACAGCAACAGTTGTAAAAGCTGAAACATGCAAATTCTTCCGTGATGGCTGATTTAATCCCTGGTCTACAGTCCAGCATTCTTTCTCTTTCCCAAGTTATTTGTGTATGAAAGAGACAGGCAGTCAGACTGAACGGTTTCTGGGACTAGGACTCAGGTTCCTGGAACTATGTTTTCCAGACTTGTCAAAGCCTGTGAACATGTCTGGAGTATTGTTTTGTTTTTATAGCGTGGCATAGTTGAGGGTTCCTCTAACTACATAAAGGACAAGCTGAACACTGGAATTTCTTAAATCCAATTCTTAGTAATTCATTAATAGATTTGTTTTTAATGGGGAAATGAATTGCAATTGGAAGAATGGAGGTCACTGCGGCTTCAGCAATTAGACCAAGGGAATATTATTCATGTTGCAACAGCGCTTCATAGTCAGTATAGCTCAGAAAAGTACAAACTGACTCAGTTATGAGCCACACTTTAATTTGTTTATTCATTTCCTGTGTAGAGCTACATGCTACATAAAAATGGAAAAAATAGATGTGTGTGTGTATATAATCCTGTTTGGTCAATTCCTAAATAAAAACTGCATACATATGCACTAGTTGCAGTAATCACTGTCCCTTTATATGGAGCTTTCAACTCTGTGTCCTCTGATTATTTCACGAGACATTACACTTTCTCTTTCCCTTTTGAAAAAACGATTCCAGGTCTTTCTGTCACCTTGGCATCGATGGACTCACAGAAAGGGGAGGAGCCAAATCCTGGCAGTATGGAAGTTGCCAGTGTGCCAGGCTCTGCCTCGAGCCCCCAGAGCGACGCCGTGACCAGCGAGCTTCAGGAGCTCTCCCTTCAGCCTGCTCCCAATCTGCTGCCTATACAGGAGCGCAAGAATGGTGAGACAGTGACGCGCATGACCTTTGTGTTTTTCAGCCACCACCGCTTCAGTTTGATGCTAGGTTTTGGATGGGTGTTAAAGAAACCACAGCAGACATCTGTCACGTTGCACAAATACATCCAAAGCTACGACTGTTATTTTAATTAGACGTTTTTACACATAAGAGCTTGCTCTCCAAAACGATAAAGAAGTTAAAAAGGTTCTAAAATCCAGCTTTTATGAATTAATACCATTTTACCATTCACTGTGCCAGGATGTTTGATTAAATCACACACTAAGTATTTTATCACAGCTGCATGTAAACAGAGTTAAATGCGATTCAGATCTGTAAGATTGTGGTTTAAACACGTCAGTTTCTCTTCATAAACTTACCTCTGCCTGCTCTTTCTGTGCTACAGCCCTGCAGTTTCTGAAACGCCAATTAGTGACATAGTCGATGGAAGCGTTGCTTTGATAGAGTGCAAGATTAAATTTTAGTGAACAGACCCACCTGACCCCTCCCAGTCATATTGCAGCCACCGTGTCTAACAACTTTTCTGGCGTAAAAACATGGTATAAACACTTCCTTTGAGCATGTCACACCAGGTTTGCTTCAGTAATTGTGTCCTTCTGTAAAAATTCACGCTTATGTGCAGGGCTGCTTTTCAACATGTATGTTTTCTGCTCATTTTTGATGAAGTAGTATTCTGCCCTACTGCCTGACTCTTGGCTCTCACCACGAGTTTTTGTAAAGCAGTTTTAAAAACACTTTGTCCCTCTGTCGTCTTGTAGCGTCACACTGTTTGTTTGGGGTTTTCTGCCATTAGATGTTTGCCATTATATACATTACTATTATGTCAAAATGAATAAGTGTTGTATTTACAGTTATCCCTGTTGGCTTTTCAGAAATGTCCTTTTTCTAGGATGATGTGTAGGAAACGCTTAACAGCAGCACTCTTGCTTCTGCCCCAAGTTAAGATTTTGTCGAACACTTCTCATGCCTGATAGAAGTGAACATAAAATCCTCCAAGCAAAGAAAAGGTGTGCTTGGGGAATATGTTACGTAAGTTGAGGACACGTGGAAGGTGTGGAAAGCACTTGTCTGGGAAGCAGAAGTTAAATGTCAGATGCGCCTGTACCTCTTGTTCATTAGTCAGTAGAGAGATTAGCTCACCATCGAGGGCGTCTAAAAGCAAGCGAGAGACCGAGATTTAAGTTCTGACGTGGTACTACGTGTATGTAAAAGACTGTGTGCACTGAAGTCTCCAGAAGGAAGGGAGTGAAGAAGCTTCTGTGCCTAATTGGCTTGCTCCTTAGCTTTGACCTCCTGCTACAGTAGATTAGAGTGTGCTGCATGTTTGCTCTGTGGAGTTAACACTCTGTAGACCCTTTTTATGTCTGGAATTAGGATAGAGCTTGGAGTATTTTGTTCTTCTGAGTTACTTGAGCATCTTCCTTTAGTCACAGTGGAAAGGTTACGTTTGCTGGATTAATGTCTTTGATTTGTTTAAGGTCATAATGCTAAATTACAAGTGAAGCAGTGCTTAGTGGCATAGTGTCAAGAAAGTGCTTGGTAGCTAAGAGAGCAAAACTTGAGCTGTTTCCAAAAAGGTATAAGTAACATTTTCTAGTGAATTTCTTTAAAAACGTATCCGTTTGTTACAGTTTCAAAAGTAACCAGAAAATACTTAGCAAAAGTCAAAGTTTGTTAAAACATTTTTGTAGCTAAGAGTCATCGAGTTCTTCTAGTTTTCATCCATTCTTTCTGCAAAGGGCTTCTGCTCTCTCTTGACCCATCTTGCATGCAGTGCTATTTATGTCCATAGTCCTCAGTGGACTATGAGGGAAATGGCAAAACCTTTAGCTTGCACCTCTTGAAATAGTCCATTGTGGATTTTACTTTGTAAGCGAAGACATGCAGCTGGTCATCTGGTAGGGAGTACGCCTAGACTAGCTGGTGTTTTTTAACCATAAAGTGGGCTTGTGCTCTTGTGGAGGGCAGAATGGAAGCCATGAGGAGAGTTGAAGCCAACTCATCTGAGATCTTGTGGAAGCAAAGGCGGCTGTAGTCAAACACTAATAATCCTTCTGCGTGTTTATCTATGGAAACCTTGTTATGCCTTTTAGAAAGATTTTGCTGATCTTGGCTTGAGCTGAACTAAGCTGTGAGTAAAGTTGAACTTATAGGGATGGCTGTGAGCGCAGGGCTATAAAAGGAAGGAGGAAGTATCTAATTTATAATACAAAACAAAACGAAAGCTATCGGCTGATAGCCCAGCCCTACCTTTGATCATAGAGCCCCACAAAAAATCTATTTCAGCTTCATCAGTCCACAACATTTGTTTCCAGAATGTATTAGAAGGTCAGTCAAACACACTCACACATGCACATGTATCTTGCCATATCAGAATTGTCAGCCATATTGGCCATTGTTCCCAGCTGGGCGTTGGTCACCCATTTACTTGGAGGGAAAGTTAGTTGACTTGGTGTTGATTTGTGTGGAGATGAAGGTTAGGCAAGGTTGGATCAGTCAATGATTTATAAATCAACAGTGGGAGAGAACAATGCACAATAACACATACAATAAAAATCCGAGTTACAAAGTACAATGGAAAACAGAGTTAAGGCAGTAGACGGCTAACTTTTAGAGTGCACTGAAAGCAATAAGATAAGAAACTTCGTGTTTCTTGAACATTATTTCAAACATGTTTATGTCGTTACGGAAGTATTTAAGAGTGACTCTGTGGCTGCTTGTCCCAACACCCTGTTTACTTCACCGTCTCACAGCCTCAGGCCATCACTCCCTTATTTAAACAACCCCTGCTCTTCTTGGCCTTCTCCTTACACTTCAGTGTGGTAGCCAGGAGCAAGCATGTTGCTGCAGACACCCCTGCAGCTTATCTAGATGCCTTTACAGCACTGCGTGTGATTGCATGCACATTTCTGCACACGCACATGTGTTGCAGTGGAAGCGCAGAACCTGCATTGGGAAGGTTAGCAAAGCTTTATCTCTGATACCAGGTTGTACAGTATGCTAACTGTACTGCATGAAGGCTGGGACATTTGTTGTTAAACACGCCGTAGAGATAGGTGGCATGTTTTTCAGGATGGTCAGGTCTGTATACATTAATGCTTATGCAAGAGAGAAGAATAGGGAGCCAGCTCTGTTTTTAAGGTGGAAGGCTGATATAAACCAAGACTAGTCTTGAAAGCGTTTTACATTTCCTGCCTTCCCAGTTGCAAACTTGTCTCTGAGGTTTTCTGTGCCAAAAAACCTGGTTATGCTATGATAATGGAATTGAGATCATTTGAAACTTTGAGCTGGAAAAACTTGCTTGAGTGTGGGCTGCGAGAGCAACACGAGAAGGAGGATGGGGATGTCGTAAAGAGCGGGGGGAAGAAGGGAGGTCATGTCTGAAATGGCTGTATTGCATAATTTCCCAGAGAGGGAACAGAAGGATAGTGAAGGAAAGTGGAAAGGAAGAGAAGAGGGGGTGTGTCACTTGGACTTGAGGAGGTGAGGTTTGGAATCGGCTTGTTTTTATTCTTGTTTTAGAGTGCAGAGGAGTGACCAAAAGTTTCCCTTTTCTTTTTAAGAAGAGCTTAAAACTCGTTCACGGAACAGTGTATGGGTGGATCTTGTTCTTATCCAGGGAGCAATAAGACACAGACGCACAGACCTACACACGCCCTTTCTGTTGGGGCGTGCATGCACTTGTAGACAAGACAGTTCAGAGAAAAGGACTGTGAGGTGGAGTACCTGTGGAGTACCAGCTCCCTGTGACAGCATTACTGTGGCTTTTCTGCTGTCGGACTTCTCCTCAGACTCCTGTGTTTTCTCAAATGAACAACGCTGGCTGTCTTTGGAATATGAATCCATAATCTTGCCAGGAAGGTGAAGTCTCCCTTCAGCATGGTGCAGAGGGATATGACTATCCAGTCAGGTAAAGCCCATTTGAGTCTCTAGTCCTCGTGCATTTTGTTTTAAACTTAAGGAAACAATTGAAAGTTTGGTCTACCTTAAGATGGACCTTAAGGTGAAATACATGTGAAATCTTTAATCATGCAAAGTGCCACCTTAGATTTTAGCTGCAACGCTGCAACCTTTTGGATATATATAATCATGTGTATGCAGTACATGTGTGTAAATTAGATCCGCAGGGCACAGAAGCTAGGCGGGGCTGTGAGGCCAGGTTTGTAGAGTGTGCCCTAAGTGGAAGTTAGGGGGTGAGGGAGCTGTGCAGGTTGGAAGATGTAGTTAAGGGGAAGAGGAAGGCTCAGCAGCTGTGAACTGTCCAGCCAGGGCAGCAGTTCTGCCCGAGGAGTGACTGCAGGCAGTGGGCCAGGATCCGGGCGAACTTGGAGAGTCAGAGGTTAGCTGAGAGAGGAGGGATAGAGGCATATGCCGGGCTCACTGATGGAGACTGAGGCTGGGGGGTAAATTAGGTTAGAGGCGTCACAGATTTTGCTCTGGATTTAAGCAGAAATGACCTGCTCAGTTATAACAGTTTATTCCAGATCACAATGTAAACTACGTCTACTGCCACTCAGAGTAGAAAGAGGTTAAATGATAAATGGAATGAGACAGTGTCAGCGCTGTCTGCAGCTGACAGCTGATTGAAGAAGCAATATACCTGCAACTACTAGATGCTGCAATGTTTGCTATGAATTTAAAACCTGCAGAATTTTCTGTTACAGGCACAGAGGCGAGTTCAAACTGTCTGATCCAGAAAAAGCCTCCATGTTTTTGAATAACCTCTTGTACTTTCTGGTCACTTAAACCATTTTGACCTTCAGGACTTGACTGCAAATAACCCCTTTACAAACTAGAGGTAGTTGCAGACTAAGAGAGGTTGTCTGCTAAAACATGGTCACGAAAAGGGTGAAATGTAAGAGTGGAGCTGATAGCCTCCTGCTGAAATTCCTTGAAGTGAGATTTTGGATTTGCATCCCCGTGTCATTCAGACTTGTAAACAAAGACAGATAAATATCACATGCTTCTTCATCTTCGACACATGACAGGCTATAGATTACATCGGGATGTAGGGTCTTATTTGCATGAGGCTGAAATGATCAGTGTGAAAAATTAAAAATGTGAATATAATGTGATCCCAGACACTCATGCTTTTGGGTAGTAGTTAGGATATTTATCATTGCTGAGGCTAGCCTAGCCCAGCAGTGATTCAGGGGAGGCTGCTGGTACTGTTATGTAACCTACTGGGATGCTGCCAGCAGCAGAGACCCCAGATCACTCTGTCAAGCTGAGAGTAGGAGTGAAAAGGAGAGGGAAGAATAGGATGGAGGGACTGATAGATGGCGAGAAAGCGAAGGAATAAACGTGGAAAGAAAGAAGAAGAAATGCAGAAAGAACTGAATATTCCAAAAGGTAGAAAAAATATAAAAATTAAAGAGAGGAGGGACGGAAGGAAAAGTTGTTTTACTCTTATCCCTGCAACCAGCTGCAACCGACACAATCCAGCTGCATGTCTTCTTTCTTTTATAACAGTAATTCTTTCATGGCTTTAGGTATTCTCCGTAATTCCCAAAAAATCATTAACACACATGAAATTATACAACATAATTGCAACAACACGCTTTTGGTCATATTTTCCCTGGACATGCTTCATATCTTTATGCATGTGGTGATAGATAGATCTATGCACATTGGAGTTTATGAAACTGCAGCACAAATCTGTGCTTCCTAGCAACACGGCAAAACAGATTGAGTCCAAACAACGGGACACCAAATGTCGTAGCTTTTGGTGAATGTAAACAGCATCCAGTCTAATAAACACACAGGCAGGAGAATATTTATGCAACACAGGCAAGTCCTGCAAGAAGCTTAGATCTTAAGTGTGTCCAGCACACCACGCACACACCCACAGGCTACCCGTGACTCACCCTCACACACACACACACACACACACACACACACACACACACACACACACACACACACACACACACACTTTTCACAACTGGTGTCACTGTCAGAATCTGGACATGCTCTTCTGGGAATTGGTAGGCTTCCATTTTTTCATTAAAAAAATGTTTTTTGACTGTGTGTCCTGAGAGCATGGTATTTGAACAAGCACAGACACACACATACATCTTTGATTTACAATCCTGCAAATTCCTGTTAGATAATGAGAAGTGTGAGAGCATATCCAAAAAAACCTCACTCAGATCTGTTGCCTAAAGCTAAATAAAAGCACTTCGCAGGTCTGCTCGTAGCAACAAGAACACAATGCCTGCACACCCACAGGTACAAGCCCACTCATGTAGCTCAGTGATCTTTAAAGACACACAAGCACACATCTTACAACGTGCAATTCAGTTTCAAAGCTGACAGATGGACACACATTTACCCCAGCTAATATCAGTTTTTTATCACTTGAATGCAACATGCTGTGTACAACATGAAACCTTTTGATATTCTGTTTCACAAACACAGTTATGCTGCGGTGTGTATTTTGAGCACAGCTACAGCACACATTTGCACATTTATAATTGGTGCTGTGAGTAGCAAGACAGAAAATGAAGGCAATAGAGTGCTTTATTAATGAGAATGTGTGCTGCCTTCACATTACTGCAGTAGTTGTGCATTGTATGGCAGGGGTAATTGTAATCATGTATGGGAATAATAGTATTGGAATAATACTATATTACTAACATGGTACCAAACATACTAAACCCAATGTTATCCACTTAAAACTGGAAGTGTAAAATATGGAAACGAGGTAATCCCAGTGCAATGGGAAATAAACTGACTGGCTATTTTATTTATGCAAAAATAACTCTGCCATAGACTGGCAACCTGGCCAGGCTGTACCTCGCCTCTTGCCCTGTGGCAGGTGGAACAGGCTCCAGCCTGTCATCGTATACTGGGTAAGCGGTTTAAGACGATGAATGAGTGGATGGACCGTGACAGTCAATCTTGCTGTTTTTCAACGCAGCAACAAATTCCTAATTTATTTTATCTTTACATCTTTTCTTTTCTTTACGAACTACCACAAAATGGCCTTTTTTTCCCTTTTTTTTTTTTTAAATGTATTGAATACATTCAGTAAACTGGATGTGAATTAATTAGAAAATAACAATGGAAAACTACTAATTTCAATTTTTATAAGAAAAATCTGGCCTGACAGTTCAGTTCTTGGCCTGTTCAAATTTTCTTTCTAGGAGTTTTAATAAAAGAAAAAGGTTATTTTTCTGCAAATTTATTTTAATTTAAAATAAATCTGAAAAGAATTGCATGCGTCACACTTTAACATGTTTTACGTCTTTGTCTCTGTAATTACACCTCCTAATATGCTAGATGGCAATGTGGTTACTGTGCTGTGTTTTGGTTCTTCTTGTATGCAAACAGAGTTGAATGAACCCAGCAGTTCATGCAGAATTAGGAGTAATACATTATATCTTTGCTAAAATGACTGCAATGCAAAGAAGAGACAAGATTTTTGAACAATTTGAGTTTACTCACGACAGACTGAGAAAACTGCTCATGCTACACTGTTTAATTATTGCCTGTTGTGCTAGCATCAGCATTATAAGGCAGTCTGACAGAATTATAGCCAAACCAATGTGAAAAAGTGTATTATTACCAAACAGAATGTGTTGGGTTTTTTTTTTGTTTTTTTTGTTTTTTTTGGGGAAGGCAAAAGTCAAGTTGGAGTGGAATTGGCACAGAATTGCATAGATTTGAGGCTGACTGGCCCGACACCGATCATGGCCAGTCAGCTGAAAATTGGCAGATTCTGTTCATCAACCAATTGATCAGTGAATCTCTAAAATTATGCTAAGGTTGTGTAGTCCCTCACTTAGAGTTCCAGGCAAGTGCAAAACAAAAAAAAGAAACTGTGAGAGTGAAAACAAACGAAGAAGACGAGGCGAGCACGTAGCTTAGGTCACATTTTCCTCTAATCTATTACATCTAGTACTTCCTGAACAAAGACAGTCTGTTAACCAGCTGCAAGCAGGAGAAATAATTATGATTTTTAAACAATAATTTCTGTCCTACTTGCTACACTTGGATGGAATTGCACATGTACAGATAAATATCTGAACAGTTGCATTGTGTTTTTCAGCCTTTTTATGGTCACCTTCATTTGCATCCACATCTCCTTAGACCTTATATCTAGAGTTGTAATGATAGCAATCCACTCAACATCTTTTATCATTTGTCCTTTTTGAGCCTCTGAAAGTCTGCGCTTCAATCATGCCTTGCTTGATTTAAAATTCACTGTAGTGGTGTACAGAGGTATAAGACAAAAACTGTGTCATGTTTCAAAACCTCCTGCAGCTAACTGAAGGTTTAAGCTCCTGCTGTCACAGGTGCAAGCTGTGGGAACAAGTAGGCCCACAAACCGAAGACATGTGCTCTATGATCATCACCAACCCGGTGTGCTCTGGTGTTTCTGAATAATAGAAGACCTATTAGCCTGTGACTCACCTGCCAACACCAAATGTGGCGCACTTAGTGTTCGCTGATGAATGTAACAGAGGTCACCGTGAACTGGCAGGACTCCTGTTTCATCAGGATGACTCAGACACGAGTCACAAGAATCAAAAATCAGGGCTGTAGGCTAGGATGTGCCTAGCATACATTATTAAAGCTATATGTGAAACACAAAAAGAAGAACCACCAACGTTTGTCATAACAAATGACAAATCTTAAGTATTTTCTCCCTGACATGTCACCTCTTTGGCTAAATAAACTGTAAAATTGTTTTAAGTTCCAGTAAGTGTGAGAACAGAGTTGTCTTTCTGCACAAACAAGAATATCTGTTGGCAACGCTCGATAACATCAAACCTTTCACCAATCTGCAGAGATTGGGAAACTCTCGTAGAGGTTATGTCACATCTCAAGCATTCCTACACTCGACTAAAAACAAAGCTGTGTGTGGCTGGATTGACTTTCTTGAGTTTGTTCTAGCCTTTACAAAGTCATTTGAGGATTCTGCATTTTGACACATTTCTTTCTTGCAGGTTTATATGCTTTTGTGTTATGTCTTTTGCTTTTGCAATGAACGCAAACCACATTTAAAGTTTTGTGTCTGTTTAGTCACTGTGTAAAAAATCTGCCTTGTAATAGAACATGATAGATCTTTTTAATCAGCATTGCGACACATCTGCAAATATGTCATGTGACTAATGATAAGTTTTCTTGAAAGCAAAGGTAGAAGAATGTGTAGCACTAGCAGCTAGCTGTCTATGAAGCTCTGTCGTTTCGTACGCTTGGATCTGCACCTGCATGTCACTTAAACTCTTGTAATAAATAGAAACCTGTGTCCCCAAAGGTCTGTGTCTAATAAAAACTCTGCTGAAGCAAATTAAGAGCCAGGCTTTTATTAGATGTTATATACAGTAACAGAAAAAGGAGAGGAGAGGATGAAGCAGAAAGAGCCCCATAAAACTCTAAAGAGCACCTGAAGGAAAGAGACTTGTAAGAATACAATCAGTAAGTATTAAAAAGACTTTCTCAAGCCAGAAAAAAAATCTCTATCAGATGCTTGTGAGCTGTAATGTGCACTCAGTCCAACAGTTTTTTAAATTTGTGTCCACTCTGTCTTTGTTTGCTGACAGCCTGCCCAGGAGTTTGTTGTTGTACATCTGAAGGAAGAAAAAAAGTTGTTTCCTCTGCAACTAGGGCAGGAGGTTAGGGGGTTTGTTACAATAAAAATTATTTTCAGATGTTGGAGTTATGTAACAGTGTTACGAAGCTGTCATCCCAGCACTGGGAGCACCCTTTCTGCTGCTCTTGCTCTCTGTTTTTCCCTCTGTTTCTCTGAAAGTCTCATTTTGCTGAACACGACCTGAACCCCCACCCCCCGTTCTCCTCCTTACCCAGTCGTTTCTGTTTTACAATAAAGGTTCACAGAACCAGATGCTAACAGCTGCCAGCTGGCTTGTGGGTCTTTTGGTGCTCGTGCACTTATAGATGCTTCTGTTTCCTTCAACAGTATACAATTAGAGCTCGTTTAGACTACTTTTCATTGAAATGATGTGACAGAGTGAGGGGTGCTGCTGCAAGCTGGTCAACAAAAGAACCTTTGACTGTGTTTAAAAGGAGTGGGCTTAATTAGTTCCACTGCTTTTAGAAGCAGAATTAATTTTCTCTTTCAGCCTTCTGATGAATAATCATGTGGGGAAATCAAATCAAATAAAGTAGTAGTAGTTAAAATAGGCAGGACTTCAAACCTCTGAGCTCCTTAAGTATATGTGAAAAGTCAAAGCTACAAACCAAACCAGCCTGTAAAGATGCAGCTCAGTAGTACAGACTAGTTATGACTTGCTCCAGCTGTGACATTTAAGGATTATCGGCGGTATTTCAGGTAGATCATATTGGGGTTATATCTGATTAGGATCAGGGAAAGGTTTGTGCTTATTTTTTATTATTCTATTTATTTGAACTTGTGCTAATTGAACCAGTTAGTATTCTGTGCATTTGGATATCTGACTGTAGCACTTTGCAGTAGAAATAGCCAAATAAGTACGTTGCAAAGTATAACCTGTCTTTGAAGTTTTGTTACCTCTGACAGCTGACAAAAGCACAAAACTTGATTCCTCTTTGGAGTGAAGCTGAAGTTCAGCAGTAGGTCAGTCAGGGATTATGCATCTGATAAACCCGGGACTTGTACTGTTCCCTCATCCCCAAACATGTAAAGAGCTGCCTTTTCCTGTGAGTTTGCTACTTTAATTACAACTATAAAGTAAAGTAAATGATTAAGTTCAGCCTTGTTGGTGCATTTTGTGGTTTGTTAAAAATTCCACGTCTTTTCCTAACGATTACGCACATGGCTACAATGGCTAAAAGTCTCCTCGGTTCAGGATGACGCTGAGTAATCCCCTGCCTGATGTCAGTGTGTCCCAGGAAACAGTGCTGGTAAATTCCACAGAAGAGCGAGTGGGTGGGGGGAGACCAGGAAGTAAAAAGGGAAAAAAATTGCCTGTTTTCCTTGCTGGAATGTTAATGGCTGGTCTGACCTACGGTGGCCTGTCACTTGGCCTGGTTAGTTTCTTGGCAGCTCGGGTTTTGTTGAGTTCATCTGTTTAGTGCATTCTTTGTCCATCTGTAAACTCGCCTTTGACTAGAAAGGCATCAATTCAAACATTCGGACATCGTGAAAAGATACAAGTGAGGAGTTTTGTCTGGCTCAGTGCTGATAATGTTACGCAAGTTTAAATTTACTTGTGGTGCGTCTAGTTTTTATATAACGTTGTAAATCCTTTTGCACTGGACAAATGATCCCAAACTATTTGATGTGTGTTTGGTGTAAAATGTTGCCTAAATAAAACACTCTGAAGTTAAAAGCGAGCTTAAACAGTGGTGGTCAGGTAGTGAATAAACATGCCAAAACATTCTAGTTAATCCAGTTGACGGCAAATTTGTAAGGTGGGGTCTTTGCCACTTTGTGGAAGAGGCGCTAGTTCCCAAGGATGTATTTATTCAGTCAGAATTCATTAACTCTTATTCGATAATTAACATACTTGGAATCTCGTTGCCTAAAATGATTGCTTTGAAGATGCGGACCAGATCTGCAATCGCCCAGTCAGTTACTGTCTTCAAAGTGAGTTTGAGGCATCAAGGCAGTGATAAGATGGCAATAAAATAGAGTCAGTCTGCTATCAGTCTGCTATCAGTTTGTGATTAATCAACAAGGAGACACAAACCCCTTCTGGATTGTGTCATGAAGGGAATTTGGAATAAAAAGGCTGCTGCAGTGCTAGCCGCTGTGATCAGACTGAAATCAGCTATTTCTATTTAATTTAAAAAAACTTAAAAATACCACAGAGAGGCGGTGTACCGAACGAAAAACACCATGGTGGACAAAGAATAGCGGAAACGGATACGTGTCTTTAAACAAAGAAAGTCCCAGAAATATGAATTACCACTTATAGTTTGAACTTTCAAATAAAAACTTAAATCAGGCTTTGAGATAAGAATCGAAGTAGTAGGCTTCAACATTAAACACTCAAGAGTTCAACATTATATTCTTCTTTTAACCTTTAGACCAGATTATCCACTCCTACTAGATAATGTGTTTTCAGGTTTCCCCTCCATTAATTTGTGGACGTCTCTGACTAACTGTGAGACCTTCAAGTCATTCTGTCTTCTTCACAAAATGCGTCTCTTTTTCTATTATAAAGTCACAGAAATGTTTTTAGTGAAGGATAAAGGAAAATACCCAAGGCCAAATAACTTCAGTGGAAAGTACATCAGGTCAAAGGTTGTAGAGTCCAATACTTTACTCGAGCAGCGGTACAGTTTGGACACAGTTTAAGCTTTCACCTCTCGTTGGAATCAGACCCTTTGGAGTTTGCAGTGCTTTGGTGGTTTTTTGTGTGGTTATAGAGATCCTAGTATCAACTAATTCAAAGTAATTCTAAAGAAGATCATAACTCATCTATTAGTGTGGGTTACTGGTTACTACGTAATCCTATTTAGTGGGGTAAATCCTGAGAAACTGAAATGTGCCTTCCACACACTGTGGTCAAGCTGATTTAAAACCATAAAATATTTGCCTGCATTACTGGCTCGCTCAGTACTGTTATTACAGGGGAATCGCTGCCCCTGAGGTTTTTAGTTATGTGAAATATACAGCTGGCTGGACTGTAGAGGCTGAAAGCTGGTTACAAATAGTTGAAATGTCAATGTAACGGAGGATTTATGATTTTGAGCTGTGGAGGTGTAAATAAGCCAATATGTGTTTAGCATGCTGTGTCGGTTTGTGATGTGTGCAGTGCTGAGATTCAGCCTACACAGCCATGTCCTAATCCCAGCGTGTGCTGTCTTTTCTGTGTTTCCTGCCCAGACTGTGAATCATAACAGCAGGTGGACTTTAATCTCACACTCATAACACACGGTAATTGTAGTCACCAGACAGGGTTTGTTTAAGGTGTTGTCTGTGTTTTCAGGTGCACTGCTGCCCTGTGTGATATCAGTGTAGTATGCTGTTCATTTCGAATTTGGTGTTTAAACCGGCTGCAGTTGAAGCCTCTCTGTGCTGAATGTATGGTAAAGTCTTCTTTTGTATCATAAAAAAACTGATTTAGTTCAAGGAAATGGGGCTTAAAGTTTTCTTGTATGTGTTTGGAGCTAGAGATGTGCATGCCTGTCTCAGAGTAACCTTACCCTGCGAGTGCACAGGTGATACCAAGCTGTATTTAGCCCCCTTATGGCCAGCTGGCCCTGCTATTTAAAACAGATTGAGGGGGAAGGGAGACTGTGGCCGTGGCGGCGTTTATTGTCAGCAGACAGTTTTGGTCAGTAGTGCTGAACTTCAGAAGAATCTGAACATTTTAAGACCAGGTTAGGACGCATTGGATAAGTCGCTGGTTGCACCAGACCAATTAGACTGTTGTTGCTTTTCTAAAATGTTTTTTCCAGTAAGAGTGCAGATTTGTGTTCGCTGTCTTCCCTGAAGGGCAAACCGTTTGGAAAATCTTTCACAATTTCGTTTGTGATTGGGTATCAAATCAGCCACTCCAAAAGTCAGCCTGTGACTCATCCTGGTATCAGTTTTACTCAAGCATCTTTGGCAAAGGTCGTTTATGGTGCACGGAATCATTTCTACCTGTCTAATAAAAACTGTCCATAGCTTGTCTGAGTCATTGTTTTGTTTAGCCAGAGGAAGTTTTTATGAGCCGATCTTCTGTGTTGTTGCTTTGATTTTGATCAGCTTGCTGTGTTTGGGTTGAACAGGGAGCAGGTTTTCATGTTGGAGCCCCCCTGAGCTTGTAACTGTGAATGAATGGCAACAGCTGAGCAGGAAAACTTTATCAGCAGCCCTCACTGTGTGTGTGTGTGCGCGCGCGCGTGTGTGTGTGTGTGTCTCCCTGCATGTGTGTGAGATTCAGGAGGAGCTGCAATCAGAGCAGTCTCACTGGGGAATCTCTCTGCTGAGCTCACTGCTGTCCTCCCTTCCTCAGCCGCTGGCCTCTTTTCAGTTTCCTCCCTTTAGCTCTCTTGTTCTTTCTATCCACGACTCGTCCTGTGGATTTCTTTACCCCGGCTCTCTGGGAAACTGCAGAACAGCGCTGTCGTGACTCGCCGGCTGTCACTGCAAGGAAAGTAGAGCACAGGAGGCAGGAGAGAGAGAGCAAAGCTGAGACAGCCCAATCGATTTCTTTGATACAGAGAAGAAGCACCGTGGATAGAAGGGCAACGGCGATAGCTGTGCTTTTCTTTGTCATTTTGGTTTAAAAGGAGATATTTGTTTACTTGGAACGGAGTCTTCTGAAGCATTTGAATCACATCTTTCCCTTGAGAAGAGAGGACAGCTTTTGACACGTCAAGGGTGCCCTTCTTCAGGGATACGGTCAAAATCTGGGACTTGGGAGGAAATCTACTTTAAACCGTGGTGTTCAATGTTTACCTAATAATCAATCCCTATTCTGAATGATAATGCTGGACACCAACCATTGCCTGTCCTTTGAACCCTCCTCCCTGGACTCTCCTCCAATGGGAGATGACATGGAGAAGGAAGGACTGAAGATGGATCATGACAGACTTGTGTATCACAGCTTGAAAGAAGGTGGGCAATCTAGTCGGATCTGGAGATCTGTGTTGTGTTTTTGTTCCTGAGTTCACTGTACATTTTCAAAACAGGGCTTTATGGCCTAATACAAATAGCTAATGGGGTGTTGCTAAAGATAAGTGATAGAGTTTACTGGCTTGTGTAAGATGGAAGGAAGTTGAAGTGGTTTTAGGTTCTTTCTGAAAAACCCTTTCAATAGAGCAGACTTGACCACTGTGAATTCAGGAAGTGCTGACAGCCGGGCCTGTGACGTCGGGCTAACTTTGCTCAGTTCTTCAAGGTTAAAGCTTCCAAATAATATTTCAACATAAAAGGTCAAGTTAATGTTTAAAATTAGTCAGTGTTCACCCCAAAAAATCATGCATATGTTTAAAGAAAGAACTGTGTTGACGTGCGTTCATTCACAAACAGCTTTCCCTAGTGTAGTTTGAATTTGGGAATAGTGTAACTGTGGTGCAAATTTACACACCAGGCATTCATAAAGGTATAGACTTCAAAGGAAGACAGCTATAAAGACACTCTGAGTGTGCGCGCACGTTTATGTCTGTTCAAAAAGTGTGTCTATAACAGGCAGATTGTGGGTTGTAGTTTTCTCTAGAGCCACGCCTCCAAACTCAATGAGCGAGCAACACATTTGTCACAGGAAACCAAAAGCATGAATAAATAACATAAATAATAAATAAATTTAACACGTCCAGGTGCCTTTTTGAGTTTCAGCTTGGGTTTTAGACCAACAGTGCAATGAAATGGCTTTTGTTATTTTTTTATAATATTGAAAAGATTGTTTAAGTCCTAGAGTCTAGGTTTTAGGGTTTACGTTAAAAAAAATAGATTAAACAAAAGTTTTATAGGATAAGAGGTAGAGTGAGGGTTCAGCACTTATTTGTGATGCTAAAACGTGGAATTTATTAACCTGAGAATGTGTTAATGTGAATGTGAGAGCCAAAAAACATGGCTTTGTGTGGATGTGTGCCCTCCGTACTGCACACGGATTAGGGCAAGTAACTCGAAGGGAAACTCCAGTAACAGATTTTAGCCCAAATATGAGAACTCCACATCCCAATATTGGAAGTTTGAAGTGGATCGTAGAAATGGAGATGCATGCACCTTACTTCACCTACAGTGCAAGTTTCAGCTTTTATCTTTTTACAGTAGTGTCTTATTTCTAAAGTATTTTGGGATGTATTAAATATGACTGTGTGACACTTGTTGCCACTGTGCATGTTTGGGATTTAGATGTGGTGTGCAAAAGGCTCAAAAAAACATGGCGTTCCAAAAAAATGAAGTCATCCAACAGTGACATACTATCAAAAATTAGCCTAATTTGGTATGGTCCGTGCAACAGTAAAAAGGCTTCACTTTGTTTATAACCAGCGTTACGAGCATGGACCAGAGTCTCAGATGACTGGCTGCAGATGAAACAAAACATTCCTGTGAGGTTAGAATGACTGAAGATGGATGGAGTCTAAAGAAAAGCAAAGGGATTAAAAAAAAGCCATCAGTTAAAGATTATTAATCCCGGTGCGCTTTTTGCTTACTCTGAAGTATGAGTGACACAAACTGCAAAAGCTGCAAAAGCCTTTATCCGTCTGTTCTCACTTGAACTTTAAGGATGATTAGTATTCACCGCACCTCTCCGTGTTGTCATCCTGCTTCTCGGCACAGCGCAGCAGAGGAAAGGCAGCGGGAGTGAGTCCAAGGTGTGAATGGCCTTAACCTTGCATTGTTTCTGCCCTTTTAGCTCTCTAGCTTCTTTCCACTCTCACTGATGTGCGAAACATTCGCTGCAGTCATGCGCTGCGTTCGCCTCTCTGTTCAGCACATGCAATTGAACGGTGCTACCGTGCGAAAGATGAGAACATCTTTCCCGATTAAAAAACATTTCCAAAGCCAGTGCCAAGCGTAACGTCTGTTCAAAGCGTCTGCAGGGCTCGTCTTTAGGTGGGTATGTGGCACACGCTCTGTGGGCCTGAAGCCTTTTGCCTTCATGTGTGTCACTCGGGTTGGTGCGCGCAGGCTTAGTCGTGCCAAGCCAGGGGTCTTTGGGGACAGTGACGAACTCAGACATGTTTAATCAGATCTACTGACACATGAGCACAGCAGGCTTAGCCCAGTTGGCCACCAGCATCCCAATTCATCCTCGTTCTTCCCTCCAATGTGACTTTTTACCTGTACAGCCTTCTTTTAGACAATTATGATGACTTGAAACCGATCTGATCTTGACATTTAGGAAATAAAAGCTCTATAAGTTCAGGTAAAGATTTCATTATTGGTGTTTTGTTATAAAGTTAAGCTTGTGAAAGGTTTAAAGAAAGCCATGACTTTAGTTGCCGGGGAGAAAAAGTGTTTTGTTTTGGGGGTTTTATGTACACCCACACAGAGATCTTAGAAATAACAAATCAATGTGCAAATCATAGTGTTAGTTCTCTGACGTTTGCAACGACGAGTTTAATCAAAAGATCGAGTAAGCGAATTGTCTTCAAATAAGCCACCTGCTGTCATTTCCTCTGCTTAATCTAAAATCTTCAAACGCTTGCATCTCTGCCGTCTTCCTCTTTCTCCCTTGTCTGCCTTTGCTCTAACTTTTTATGAGTGTAGTAGCAAGCTTTGGCTGTGGCCTAGTATCCCAATAAAACTGTCCTGCCTTTTCATCCATTTTCTTAAATTAACCAGAATGGCCTTCAAACCTGATTTAAGTCCCAGAGCATGTCCTGGTCGCAAAACACAAAGACACATCCCTCCTCTTTTTTCCCAAGCAGTAATCTGCTTACAGTTAACAAAACATCGCTATCCTTGTTGGTTATGTTTTTGTCCACTATCTTATCTTATTATAAGTTCTTGCTGCAGTGCATGTAACCATAGCCACAGTCGTAGTGCAAAAGTTTTCATTTGTCTTTCTGGCACCCATTTAAAGTTTGTTTTGTGGTTAATCCAGAACAAACAGTTCACAGCCTCCAAGTGGTTTTTGTCTGTCTGTTATACTCCTGTCTTTGTTGCTGTGCTGCAAGCAAGCAGTATTTATTTGTGTAGGACTTTAGGAATACTAGAGTCACAAAGTGCTGTACAAAACACATGACAGTTTAGTTCAGCAGACAAAAACTAGGATTAAAAGCACTGCAGCATTGAAAGAAAGGGCACTAAAAAGTTAAAGTAAGGAAAAGTGGAATTAAAGTAGATACAAAATGAGAAAAAAAGTTAAGAAAGAAGACAAAATAACAGGCAGTGGTGCAAACGTGATTATTTTATGCACGTGAATCTACAATTTCAACACTGCTACATTTTTCACGCCATGATTGTCTGCCAGAGACTTCTGCAATGTTGGGGTTGGAGGTTTATTGATAGCTGACGCTTTATTATTATAGCCAACCATTGGAGCCAGTGTTGCAACTGTACTGAGCTCATCAGCTTGGTGTTTAGGGGGGACAGGAAAGAGAGGGCAGGAGAAAACTGGAGTATCCTGGGGGAGGGATAGAAGATGTGGAGGGGGTTATGGATAGAGGGAAAGTGTAAGAGTCTCTTTCTAAGAATAAACCTTCCTTCCCTGGAAGCCCCGTGTGGCATGGCATCTAATGGCGCATGGCACGGTCAGTCTGTATCAGTGTGTGTCTGTGTGTGCACGTTCCTTTATTGAAAGTGTTTTCCTGTGCGTTTGCTACTGAGACAAAATGAGTGCTGCCAGCTGCTGTACAGGCAAGACCATATAGATCGACTCGCCTAAGTGTGTTTAGGCGTGCGTGTTTATAATGCTAAATGTCAAATGGCAAGTTATTGCTTCTAGAGAGGAGTCGGTAGTGTTAGACTGATACTTTCAGACTTGGAGCATACACACTTGTAAAAACAACAGAGGGGAGCCGGGATCGCCAGCAAGAATTTGGAGCCAAAGAATGACATTTAGTTGCACAGGCTCTGACATTAATTCATGGCTCTTGCGGCGTTCCCGTCTAGGCGAGGATTCCTTGTCATAACACAGAGGCAGCACCGCAGCAGCAACAGCTATATCGTGAGCTAGACTGAGTACCAGTGATGTCACTTTGTTGGCGAGGAAGAACAGGTGCTGCTTGACTGAAGTAGCAAACACAACCCTAGCTAGAAATGCTTGGGAATCTTCAGTGGTTTGCACCACACTGTATACACACACACACACACACACACACACACACACACACACACACACACACACAAATAGATACGTAGCCCTTCAGTAAGGATCGCTGGGACAACTTGAGCAGGAGCGTCAGCTGAATGTTTACATCAGTAGTGAAGTTACTTGGTATAACAACATACTGCTTCCTCTTCTGATACTGTTAATAGCTTGGAAATAAAAGATAAACAATGAAATGGAAAGACATCATGCACTGTCACTTACTTACTTGCTTACAAGCTAAAAAAAAATCATTACACACAAGTGTCTGCAGCCATTCTGGGTGTCTTTTTTCATGGGTGGTGTGTTTGTGTGATGTGATGGTTGACTAAATAGTTTAGGTCACTTCCCTAAATTGCTGTCGTGTTGCAACGAAGCCAACATGACAGTGATGAGATGCTGTGTACTTGTGATCTTGCAGGTGTCTATATGTAATTGTTAGTTTGTTATATTTGTGTCTTTGCTTTGTTTAAACGATAGCCAGCTCATTTCTAATTTATTATCCGGTTACAATGATGACGCCAGACATTCTGGGCTCGTTAAAACTTTAAAAAAGTATCAGGATGAGGACTGTGCCACACAGCACTCAACAACTGACATTTTATTTGTTTAGAAATGTCAGACATAGTCCAACTCTTTCTGTCCAGCTTTGTGTTCCTTACAGTTCTCCCCCACCCCGCCTCTCCATTATGTAACAAGAGCTTCCTGTTTTGAAATGACGATGCAATCGGCCCATTTAAAAATGAAAAAGGAAAAAAAAAGTAATTTAGCTTCAAATCGGTGCTTTTATTTTTTCATTTCTTTTAATTTTTTCGTTAATTTCTTATAGCAGCATTATGCCTTAGTGTTCTGTCTCTCTCACTCTTTGATGGATGTTTGCTGCTTTTTCACACATCTGTGCTCAGAAACAGGAAGTCTGTCTACACACACACCTCGTACCCGCCTCCTTTGTAACTTCAAAAAAAAAAAAGATGCATGCGAGGCAGGGAGACTGGAGAATGAACCGGTTGCCACAGAGTAAAGGTCCTCGTCGTGTCAGTCATATATGTTCCTTTATGTGCTTATTTATCTAAATATTGTGGATCTGTTGCTGATTGTAAGGCTTTACGGGCACAGAGCTTCACCGCTGCAGTTTCTTAATCTCGCCGGCCGTCACTGACTGTCTTCTCTTCTTTCTCCTCTTACCTCCTGTGTCTCCATGCAGTCCTCCAGCTCAAACTTCAGCAGAGACGCACACGAGAGGAGCTGGTCAGCCAAGGGATCATGCCACGTAAGTCTGCTGAGTGTGTTTTACTTGCTTTTTTGCTTTTTTTAAGCTCATGAACCAAAGTATATATCGTCAATGTACGGTAGTCCGACTTTAAGTGTGCTTTTAGACTCTCAACTGATCGCGTTTTACCCAAAGACAGCACTTCTTTATTGTCTGGAACAGACAGTATCATCTCGTTTTTAGAAACTCAAGCAGAAAACAGGAGCTTTGGCTGTGAGCTGAGGTCAAACTGCTAACCCTTTCCTGTTTCAGGATTACACACCAAATCTTAAACTGTCACACACTAACAAGGTCGCTACCTGATGCTAGACGCTAAACGATACTCATGTATTTTTGGAATGTCGTTTAATTCACATCCCGCTGACACATATTGGTTCTCAACAACAGAACCTGGATATGTTGGTAAATAGCGTCTGTCAGTCTGTGCCGTATATGCTGTCATATGATGGGTTGTATAGTGAAGGTCTAGAATGGCGTTTCTTGTTTTTTGCTGAAAATGTCGTCTCTTATCGGCATTATCAGTATGAGTATGTGTGTTCTGCAAGTGTCATATTTAGCTGTATCTTTGCACCACTTTGTATTATCAAATAGGGCAGCTTCCTCTTTATGTCTATCCACTTCCTGTTTCAGGGTTCCTCACATCACAAGAGTCAGAAATATAGTTTTAAAAGTTTCCCTCCGTTTCTGTGTAGAACCGAAAGCACTCTGCTTTTTCCTTTTTCCAAGAAGACTTTTTGGTTTGAATTAAAAGTGTGCAAGCGAGTGTTCGCCCTCATACTGTAGACGTGGTAGCCAACATTCATTCTAACTGAGTAGATTTTCAAATGGAGACTAAATACCTGTTAGATTGCCCAATAGGTCTGTTCAGACATACAAACTTTGACAGATTATGCTAGCTGTGTGTTAAGAAGGGTATCAGGGAAACAAGTAACTGTGAATGGATGGTAACATGTGGCACACCTGTTGTCATATTTTGTTTTTGACAAAAGCAGATGAGATTGAAAAGATACACCATGCAAGCTGCTGTCAGCCTGCAGTGCTGCACATTCAGTTTACATAACAGTTTAAGGGTTAGATACATAAGAGTACCATAAAGTGATGACTGAGGGTTTGTTTTGGTGGGCAGCATGGAGCCTTCCAGTGAACCATTTAAGTAGTCTAGTAAATCGCTCTGTGTCCTCTTTTCTGCAACAGGCCCTGTGCCAGATTGTTGCAGATTTAGGATCAACATGTTTGGATTGACTATTTCGCTTTCCAGCTTCTCCTCTGTGGAGATTCCTAGAGAAAAAAAAAAAGTATAGCTGTGGGTTTAAATGAGATTTTAGATTGCTCCTAAGTCGATGACTTTGTTGACTACAGAAATCCTCTTTTAAATTGTTTCTCCGAGATGCAGAAAGATGGGGCAAAGGTTGTTCAGGCATCAGGTCCGCTGTTGTGTTACAGTTCAGTAAAGATCATATGAACCGTTCTCTTCACTTCTCGCTTCATCTTCGATCGATTTTCACGGTAACTGTATCTTGTTGACAGGAACAAACTTTGCCAAGTAGTTCCACATTGCTCCACACCCTGAACACTTTCCAGCAAAGAAAAAATAGTCTTTATATTTCTTAATGACTCTGTAATTACTGTTATTTGCTGGATTTTTGAAACATAAAAAAACAAAATCTGAAAATTTCACTTACAATGTCACCACATGGTTTGTTTTAGTCAACATAGAACCTTCAAAGGTGACATAAATGATCAGGTGTTTTCTGTCACTTCTCTAATTCTTACATTTAAATGTCCTTTGTGCTGTGTTTTCTGGTACTAAAAAAAGACTTTTATGTCTGAGTGCTGAGGCAGGGTCAGTTCCTCCTGTGGTATCAAATCCTCACACTGGTTTTGCAACTGAAGGTGGTGTGAATGAATAACTTTCCACTTTTAAACACTTTCGTGAGGTTCCTGAACACAGACATTGACTGTCCAGCTGTGAGCAAAAGTCAGTTAATCGTCATTTAAGAATGCCAACAAATATATACTTTTGTAGCATTAACATATTTTGTTGCTCCGCTGTATGAAAAACTGTTCTTTGTGTGATGAAACCACCAATGTTTTTATAATGAAACTGTAGCTAATGGGGTCAGGGAGGTTGTGGTGTTTCACAGGGGAAAGTTCTGAACAGTGCCCAGCTATAAGAATAGGCTTGAAAATGCTGTTTTTGAGCCGAATGTTTTCACTTCCTCCTGGCATGTTCAAATAACTGTTTAGTGTTTTCTTCCCCATGAAGTTTCAGTTTAAAAGTGCTTCAGGAGCAACATCGTGAAAGAAGAACTGTTGATCCAGTACCTCGTTTTGGGAGTTTAATTTGCACCTAGTTCTATTGGTGTGTGCGTGTTTTGGTGTTTCGAATTCTTTTAATGTTTGAGTATATCCAGTTATAGGTTACATATGCAATGATCATTTACACATCATAAAAAACTAGCTGCTTTGGGTCTTTTCTCTTTCCGTTTAAGCTGCTGATTGGCTGCCTCTTGCAAATAGAAGGTTTAAACTGCAGGGGTTACATGAGAAACTGGGACTGGTGGGGACGGCCGCACCAATAAGCACCAATGACAGAAGGGCTCACAGGCCAACAGACTCATTGTCCATTCTTTTATGCATTTGGTGAACATTTATTTTCCAATGAATGCCAGTAAGAGTCTGATATGATTAAAATAAAACCAGCCCAGCCTTCTCTTGCCAATACGCAAGGAAATATTGTTTTCATTGAACATCATATTGAAGCAATTAATCTGTGTTTAAGTAGTTTATGGGCCCGGTTTGTCCTTGTGGTGTTATTATTGTGATCCAGACCACTCGTTGGTCATATTACAACTGGTATTCTTTGAACGCCAGGGGTTGTGACACAAGGAATGCTTCTGACCCCCACCCATCATCTGTGGTGCACACATAGTTGACGCCCTGCTGTAGCCAGAATGTCCTATCTCAAACACCCTTGGCAGGGATTTCACCAACTCTTGACCAATCAGACGATCGCTGTCTTACATCATTATAACTGCCGCTGTCCTCTGAATATCCTTCCCCAAAAACGAAGCGGGCATCTCCCCTGTCCGTTTAGCTTTTCTAAAACCTCGACTTTATATTTGTGGTTAAAAAGAGTTTGATGTCTAGCGCTTTGTTTTTTGGATAGAAATGATCTTCTAAGGCTCAAAAAAATCTGTGATGGGAGATGGACTGTAAAACTTTTTGTTTCCTTGCACTGGACCTTTCTGCAAACTGAATAATTATAAAAGTGTAAGATAAAATGCAAAATATATGACGCTTTGGACTCATTTTTCATGTTGACCACCTCTTTCACCTCAAAGGTAATACAGATTTTTTTTCTTTTTACACAATTTTAGCCAGCTGAAATTGCTTTTATGCATTTCCCTCTTACAAAAATACTGCATAGACGTTCACTCCCCCACCCCATACACTGGTCATGGCTGAGCAATGAAGTGATGAATCTAGACTTTCGCTGGGTGTGCTGCACTCTATTCATCAGTCTCTCTTCTGCTGCTCGCTCCTTTTTAAAGAGCCATTCCAGACTCTGTTCATCAAGAATTGATGTTCCTCAGCTACAGACCATCTGCCAGACTTATTGCAGATAGTTTGACCTCTGAAATGCAGTTTCTTTAGACTTACCTTTCGTCATGGAAAAACTTAGAACGCACCACAATCTGCAGCACGTTTCTGTGTAAAATACCAATAAAAGTATAATGAAGCTGGGCTATATGTAACCTGTAATCTTTATAAGTGTTTGTATTCCCTTTTTAACACTGTGTAATTCTAAATAACAGATCAAGACAAAGCTGAATGTGTCCAAAAGTGTCTAACGTCAGTTCAAAGTATGAGAAAGAACATTTGGAAACTTTGGAATACGTGGAAAACTCTTGCTGAATAATGAACAGTGTGTTCTCATTTAGGTTAATGAAACTGCTGAGTGAATGTTTGGTACAGTTTGCGCTCATGGTTTTAGTCATATTGTTCCATTAAATCAAGCTCATCTAAACTACTTCACTACCACTGACCACATCGCGACACTTCCTGCAGCTGCCTTGGTGTTTGAGTTGCAATGAGAATAAACGTAACACAACTGATGTGAAAAGCGTAGTAAAAGGCCGAGGAAACGCTGGCAGTAACGGTTTTCTCGGTGATAACCGAGGTGGATGTGCACCACACTCAGCAGCAGAGGCTGATCTGCCTACTGAGTTGTCATCAGAGTGTGTGGTTTAGAATAGCACTCCTGACCTTCTCTGCCAGAAGCCACTTCTGCTTTGAGTCTGTCTTTGACTGTAGTCGTACAGGTTCTCACATTTTTGCTTGCTGAAAGGAGCATCACGACTTCCTTCACAGTCGGTCTGAACTGCATTAATCTTGGCTTTTTGTTTCTCCTCCTGTTCCCCCTCCCTCTCCATGCAGCACTGAAGAGCCCAGCAGCCTTTCACGAACAGCGGAGGAGTCTGGAGCGAGCAAGGGTGAGAGCCATAAGAACAATGAGTCTCCTGCAGTCTCAGTGGATTTTCTTCAGAGAGGCAAAAAACAAACAAAAAAACCCCCCACAAGAACCTAACAAATTGAAAGCTTGGACACCACAGATACAGATTGGTTGTAGTTGGGTTATCGTACAGATAATTTCTGGTTAGTTGACGTTTCTGCAAAATTGTTGTGAGTTGCAGAGCCAGGAAATGATGAAAACAAGTGACATGGAAACAAAAGCATATATTAAACTGACAGAATAATATTTTATGGTGTTGTAGCAATTTGGAGTTCATGTGATTTTGCCATCTTGTTTTCTTCCCAGACTGAGGACTACCTAAAGAGGAAGATCCGGAGTCGTCCTGAGCGCTCCGAGCTGGTCAGGATGCACATTCTGGAGGGTGCGTGTTTTTTTTTATTTTATTTGTTTTTTTAATCAGCAAATGCCAGTGTTGTAAAAAGTCACATTTTAAGCTTTGTAAAATACCTAGACAAAAACAGAACCAAATCTTTATGAAGAGGTTAATGTATAGTTCCTCCTTCATATTGCTGCTTGAAGCAATTCTGTGTTCTTTGAGGGTATTGCTTCTGCATCTTAAAACTCGGTAGCTCGATTCAGGCGCTGTGAAAACTCTTTTATAAAATGTGTTTCGGCATGTTGTCTTCATGAGGCAAGGTGCTTATCTTCACATTTTCACATTCATTTTAATATATGTGTTTGTGGTTTAAAGTGTTATGTTTGTTATGATTTTTTTTGAAGCAGCTGGTTTGACTGTTGGTTTAGTTTCTTTTAAATTAGGTTGAAGTCAAATCGAGGAAGTGTTAAAATAGGCTAAAACCTGCTGTGACGTATTGAACAGATCCACAGAGGATTATATGTGTGTGAATCACTTGGTAAATAAATGCACATGTATCCATAACGGCCTGCTGTGCCCTCTGCAGAGACGTCGGCAGAGCCGTCTCTGCAGGCTAAGCAGCTGCAGCTGAAGAGAGCACGACTGGCCGACGACCTCAATGACAAAATCTCTCACAGACCGGGTCCCATCGAGCTGGTCCACAAGAACATCCTGTCTGTTAACTGCCATCTGCAGCACTCACTCCCAGGTAATAACACAACCCTCATCAGCGTTCACCTGTACGCGTCTCAGTCCAGGAAAAGAAAATGTCTTCATTGATGGCCTTGCTCTTTCTTTCTAATGTAATCACAAGTTTAAGTCGTTGGGAAGGTTTGATTGCACCTGCGATCAGCTTCGTCAACGTTATTGTCGCTTCACCTGTGTTTCATCTGCTGCACTTCCCGTGTGTCAGAACGTGCACCCGCCGTTAAACTGAGAGCAGGAAAAGGAAAAGCTGGGGTGACCTTAAATGACAGTAAAGCACAGTAACGACTCACACTGAGTCGTGTGAAAACGAGTGAAAGTAAATGAGCATTGTATAAAAGTCTCTCTGAGGAATAATCACTAGCGCGGGATTGGTGCTCGTTATCAGTAGATGCTTAAAGTCCCGAAATACACAAGTTTTACAAATAAATGACTGAAAAAATAAATCTTATCTCACGATAACGATCGTACTGTATGCATTTATTTATGTCTGCATGCAGGCTAGCATCTCCTTAACGAGTAGGCCCACACAACATCGTCACACGTACAGCGATCATTAAGATCTGTATTTTAGTTTTTTTTAACTGTTCATTCTTTATATGTCTTTATTATTTCATCATCTTGCTGGTAATACAATGTTACAATCTCTGTAAAAATTTGAACCTCTGATGAAACTTTGTCGGACTCGCCTGGAAAAATGAAATGAAGAATTTGAAAAGGTGCCGCAGGCTATTGTTTAAAAGAAAAATTGGGCAATCTTGTATATTTATGACACTTGGTTCAGAGATTTACACACACACACACACACAGGGAGAGAGAAGTAAGTTTCTAGGTCAGCCTGAGGAGCTCTGAATTTGATTCCACCAATCAGGTGCACAGAGACACACACACACAGAGACACACAGACACACACACAGAGACACAGACACACACACAACACACACACACACACACACACACACACACAGACACACACAATAAACACACACACACACACACACACGATACAGTGCACAAACATACACAAGTGTACCTGCAGGAATTAGCAAGACTTGTAAATACAGGACAGTGGACAGGTTATGGTGAATTCAGGCTGAGCCTCAGGCATGTGATGAATACAAGTTCAAACACGTCCCCTTCCACTGTTCGCGGTGCTATTGTACCTGTGTCTTGGTGTGCAGTTGCGCCACCTCTACAATTTGATTTCCGTTCAGACTGAACACCTGAGCAGTTACACCATTCACGTATTTACAGTAAGGTGAGTGTGTAAACAAAACAAGCAGCTCTGAAACAGAAGTGACTCAGAAGCTTTGTTTGGACACGGCACTGTTTTGAAACATGAGACACGGCACGCGGTGTTGTAACTTCTCTAAAATTGCTTAGTGCCGATTGCTAAAGAGCGGTGACTAACTTTAGAGAAACTTTATTTGAGTGTTAAAATTGCAGGGGAAGCTGGGAATTAAGCTGTCCTTTCCTGTGTTTCCCAGCGGCTCTGGAAATTCCAGACAACGCCAACCCCTTTCGCACCGCTGAACCGCTACACCAGAAGACGCCACCATTAAATTGCGGTTTCATTAAATGTGTGAACGTTTCTGCACTGTCACAGATTCTCCAAAGGGAAACGGAGGAGAGAGCTCATCTTTGGACGAAGACAGCAGTGATGCTCTGTCACCTGACCAGCTAACCAATCAGGACTCTCCCCTGAGCGCTGTCCCTCAGGTCTCCCCCTCAGACGTGCTCACCCAGAACGGAGACCTCTCCCCCACACAGGTATTACTGAGGTGGAACAGAAAGAACTGGACAGAGCAGTTAGTGAAACAAAAGCAAGTGTTTTTCAGCAGGATCATGCAATTAACCACAGTGATATCATCTCACCAGTTTCTCACACAGCCTCCTGCTCCACCTCCACCACCACCTCCGCCGCCCCCTCCCTTGTTGAATGGGTCCGCTTCGTCCCCTCTACCTAAAACGGTGACCTCTGGATCCTCCCGCCATTCTGCTGGACAGGTCAAGGTGCGCCGATCGTTCTTTCAGACGGCTCTCGCTCGAACTTCCTGTTGATTTTCGTGATTTAAAAATAATTCTGACCGTAATCTCTATTTATGGGAACGCTGTAGCTCACCAAAACCCCCTCCTCATCTCTTCATTTCCTTACCCCCCCTATTTCTCATGGTTCTCTGACTGCAGTCTCAGGCCAAGACGAGTTCAGACCGCCCTCCACAGAGACCTAAGAAAGCAAAGGACAGCAAACCAAAGGTCAGAGGTCTTTGTTTTGCTTTCATTTTAACTCACACACCGGCATATGATTTATGGCCAATTTTAAATTACGACCAGTCACTGGGTAAAGGCTGTTTTTTGATGACATCTTGTCTGCAGTAAAGATTTTAAGACTTCAAATTGTGTTTGTCTGGCTTGCTGCTCCCACAGCTGAGTGACAAATATTAAAAGTTACTCCTTAGATTTGAAAGAGCCAATAAAAGTCTTCTTTGTGGTTTTTGCGTCGTCTCTATTAAATCATAGAGCAGGGGCTTCTCTCTAACCTCAGTGCTTTTTTCTGACATTTTACAATCATACTGAGGAGAATTGCTTGTAAAAGAGGAAGAGATACCATTTTATGAAGCCACAGTGGCCTCAGCACATCAGAAATATATACTTGCTTTTCTTAACTGGAAGTGCGTTAGCTTTTACTTCAGTTAAGTTTTTATTAGTATGCATCGTTTGACCTACATGTACAGAATGCCCATGCACCTCACACGTGTCTGTCTCTTAAACATTCCCTCCTGCCGCGTGAAGGTGAAGAAGCTGAAGTACCATCAGTACATCCCCCCCGACCAGAAGGCTGACAAGGAGCGTCCGCCTCAGATGGATTCATCGTATGCGAAGCTGCTCCAGCAGCAGCAGCTCTTCCTGCAGCTGCAGATTCTCAGTCAGCAGCAGCAGCACTACAACTACCACACCATCCTGCCCGCCCCTCCCAAGTGAGTGTCGAACCACTTTTGCGTATGTGTGCGTATGGTTTGGAAGCGAGGATGAGTAATTGCTGTGGGTTTTTGCCGAGAGTCAACAAGTTCAACACCCTTATTTTTTTTTCCTGCATTAAGCTAGTAGTTGCAGTGTAGCTTTACAGTTTGTATTTTTTTCCTTTTTACTTTGAGTATACCTTACAGTTAATATAAAACTTTCATGTTTCATTTTAAAATTCTAGAAAACCTATTTAGAAATTCACAAGTTTCATCTTTAGAGCTGATCTCTCATCATAATTTCCCCCGTGGTCTGCCAGAGAAAAAAAACATGCTCGATAATCTTTATTACAACTTTGTTGTTTGTCTTCCTTCAGGCCACAAACGGAGCAGCCTCCCACAACCAACTCTGGCCCTTCCCCCTCCCGTACCGTTCACACAACAACCACCACAGCTTCCTCGAGTCAAACGGGGACGGCCCGTCACAGCCAAACCGCAGTGGGAGGAGCCAAACCAGCTACTCTGCCAGCCAACCTGGATGAGTTCAAAGTAATTAACTCAGGACCCAAAAACAAACTTATGAGATCATTACTGCACACAGTGTTGTGGCTCATTTTGTTGGGTAATTCAAATCAAAGATCTAAGTTTGTGCTCAGCAAAACGGCCCCAAACGAAAGCAGCATTGATCCTGCCCATTCTAAAATAGAGCTCTGATTTTGGTCCTTTCTCAAAGGGAAATCTGTGAAAGTCTGCAGCAGTCTAAGCTGTAAGGATTAGATCTGCGCAGACACCCCTCATATGGTGGTGGACTCTACAGGCGTGTAGATGTTCTTATACTTTCTTCATGTATTGTTTGTGCTTTGTCATAACTGCAAAGCTAAATTAAGAAAGATAGTTAAACTCACTCGGCCAGAGAATAAAAGACGTGATCATTAGACAGTTATTGTGACGCACTGAGCCACAAGCCAACAAAGTTATGTTTTAAGGCTCTTTCTTTACCCCTTGAAACCTTACTAGGAGTAACCCTTGAAACTCTTCTCTGCCCTGAGTGCTTTCTATCATATTTCAAGCCTGCTTATAGAACAAAATCACCTGGTTTGCATTCAAAGTTAGTGAGTGTCGTCTCTGTCTGTGCGGGAAAAAGCTGGAAACTATTCAGATGGTAATCAAATCACGTCTTTGTTGATATTTACTGAGGTGTCAAAACTCATTATTAAGGGTACAAGGGAGATGTCTTTTTGGGTGAAAGAGTTGAGCTCTTTGTCTTTGGTTTTGCTCCTGATTTGCATGCAGTTCTGTGTGTGTGAATGGTTTACACACACTCATTAGTGTTTTGGCTTTAAAATAATGTGTCATTTTATTTGGGTGTCATTTTAAAGAGTCACTTGTCTGAATTTGTCCGAGGCGACCTTTTACATGGCTTTTTTTATCAGTACATCACCACCTACACACCCTTTAAAGGTCCAGCTGTTTAAAGTTCCTTTGAGTTGAGCGTTTTAAATTTGAGTCTATTCTCACTTTGAGTCAGTGTTTGTTTTATGAATACCACTTTTGTTTCCATCTTCCAGGTTGCTGAGCTGAAACAAGAACTGAAATTGCGGGGTTTGACCGTCTCAGGCACCAAGAATGATCTAATTGAGAGGCTCCGTAACTACCAAGAGCAAAATGGGGGAACCGCAACTGTTTCGAAGAATGGCATTTTGCAGTCCGGCTTGCAGGGCACGACCTCAGCTGCTAGCACCACCACATCTTCTCCCACCACAACTTCCACCTCTGACCACCAGTCAGTAGAGGGTGGGTTTAAGTTGTCTCTGTCCTCACTGGCTCAGGCGGTTCCAGGGCGGGTGATGCGGTTTGGCAGCACCAGCTCGAGCCCTCCGGTGTCGCCGACTCCGTCGGAGAGGTCGTTAGCTGGAATGAGTCCAGATGAGACCAGCTGCAATGGAGACATGTTTGGAGAAATGGTAAAATTTATGTTTCATTTGTTATTGTTAGAAGCACTTTGTCATTTTTGTGTCTGCCCAGACATTTTCCTAACATCCTCTCCTTTTTTTAATGTGTGTGTCCTTCAGGTGAGCTCTCCGCTGACCCAGCTCACCTTGCACCCCTCTCCTCAGCACCCAGCAAATGTCTCTCCACTCGCAGTCAAAGATGAGATCCAGAGCTCTTGCAGTCTGTCCAGGTCCTCACCTGCATCTGTCCAAACCCCCGAGCCCGGAGCAGCCATGGACACGTCATCTATGGATAAAGACCAGATGCTCCAGGAGAAGGACAAACAGATCGAGGAGCTCACCAGGATGCTGAGGCAAAAGCAGAGGCTGGTGGAGACTCTCAGGTCCCAGCTGGAGCAAGGCAAGATGGCAGGTGGGATAGTGGTCAAGAGGGAAGGAAGCGATAAGAGCAAAACATCCCCAGAGGTTAAGCTCCAAACGCTAATAAAAGCCTCAGCCATTCAGCCCCCTACGCTCCCTAATGGCATCGTGTTGAAGGTCAAAAAGGAGGTAGAGCCAGAGGAAGGAATGGAGGGAGTAACAGAGGAGGCTCTGTCAAAGAAGCAGGTCCCGACGATGCAGTATTCCCAGGAGACTCTGCTCAGGCTGCAGCAGATTCAGCAGCTGCAGCTCCAACAGTCTGATCAACAAAAACAGCAACCACAACCGAAACAGCAACAAAGTCAGGCGCAGCCGACGAAGGCCGCAGAACCCAAACCGAATCCTCAAAAACAGCATCACCAAAAGAAAGAGGCTCAACTCCTGATCCACCAGCAGCAGCAGCTGCAGCAGCTCATCTTCCAGCAGACCCAACAGAAACAGCTCCAGGCTCAGCAGAAGATAACGCAGCAGAAACTGGCCCAGCAGAAGCAAGTACAGCAAAACCAGCTCAAGCAAACCCAAGGGCAGCAGCAGGCTCAGCAGAAGAACCAGGTTCAGCTAAAGCAGGTTCAGCTGCAGATCCAAAACCAGACGGTGACAAGTCAGAAACCCGCACTGAGCCAAACTCAGCAGAGGAAGCAGCTGAAAGCTCAGCAGAGGCAGCAGCAGAAACAGCAGACATCAGCAGCCTCAACACAACAGGTAATACTGTGAACTTCAAAGACTGAAAGCACACACGCTGCAGTCTCTACGATGAGTATATAGCATATAATAAAATGCTAACGCAACTTTTCTGTTTCCAGGTGACTCCAGTCATCATCAAGCAACAGAATGGCACACCAGTGCACACTCAGGCCATCTCATTAGACCTCCTTAAGGCCAATGGCACACCTACACTGGTGACAGACACCAACGGGAACCACTACCTAATCGCTCTCACCAGTCACACCACAGATGGACAGAATGGAGTGTCCTCATTGACCAAAACCAACGGACGCATCACACTGCAGGTACAGGGAACATGGTATTCTGATGATAATGGTAATAATGCTAAGTGTTTCCCTCTAAATTAGACTATTTGTACATTATACAAAAATAATGAATATATACTGTGTAGCAAATAATTCGTTGCACCTTCAGTCAGTATTTTGAACAGCAGCGAGTAAACTTAGCCTTACAATTACTCTGCAACCTTTGTGCATTTGTTGTAGTGGCATGTGTAACCGTTCTCCACCTGCTGTGGGTTTTCTTAAGATTTCTTGTCTTAGCTTGTAGAGCTTCCTGAGCAGAACAAGAGCTACTGTCACCAGCTGTAGCCTACAACAGCAGTGTCTTTTTGACGATGTTAGTTCAGTTCTGTCAAAACTCTGAGTGAGTCGCTCATCACACATTGCTTTGAAGCTGACTGCTGGTCACTAGGGTATATTTACTAATTTAGGAAGTTTATCTTATGTCGCCGGTGGGGGTTTTCTTGTTTTGTTTTGTTTTGTCCCCACCCATCGTCACCTGAAGTTGCCAAATGTCATCGACTTACTGCAGTATTTCAACCTTTACTGTCCATGGATGAAAAAATTATAAAATAAAAAATACACTTCAGTAGGATAGGGTTAGTCTTGCATGTACTGTTTATATATGGGAAGCGCGTAATATTAAATGGTTTGACAGAATATGAATGTTTGCGTACTTGTAACGTTTCAGAGATTGAATTCAACTCCAAGTAAACTGCCCAGCGCCCACAGCCAATCAAAATGTCAGGCAGAGGCCGAGCCTGTGAGCCAACCAAGCAAAAAGGTACAGCAAAAACTCTTTCTCAGTAAAACATGTAAGCATGGTGTAGATTGTAACTTTCCCAACATTTTTACTTAACCTTTTTCTTCATTTCATTTGTATTGTTGTAGGGTCTTAACCTTAGAGTATATAAAGCGCCCTCAGCCAACTGTTACTGTGGGTTGGTGCTATGTAAATACACGTTGAATTGATCTCTGTTTACTAATTTTGTCCTGAAGACAACAATAGCAACAGATTCCTACCACAAGGTGTCGCCACTGAGACACTGTAAAATCATCCAAGTTAGATTGTGGACTAACAAAGGTTAAAAAACAGCATCTTATCCCAGAATAAGACTTGCATCATTAACATATGCAAGTGTGCCTTCCGTTCTAAACGTGCCACTCTTTGCCCTTAGGGACAAAAAGCGGGGCTGCACTTAGACGCCAAAGGTGATCCACAACCCAGCCAGCCCGTCACTGCTCCACCCAACCTGCAGCCTTTCTTTGACGACATTTCAGACAATGAAAGTCAAAACAACTTAATGTCATCTCTCAAGGTAACACCAGCAGCAGCACCTCCTCCTTCTCCTCCTCCTCTCCCTCCTCTGCTTCCAGGCAGAGTTACCTTCAGCATGTCATCTCTAATGGTGGTCCTGCTCTCTCCACATGTTCATTAAATTTGTCTTCTTGTTTCTTCTCTCTTCTCATTTCATCACTTCATGGCACCATGCTGACAGAGACAGGAGGCGTGTCCGCCTTACGACCGGCACACGCTGTTCACCCCTCCCTCTCCTAAACCCAACACCTCCCTTTCTTCTCAGCGCTTCAGAGTATGTCCTCCAGCATGTCTTGTCTTTCCATCTGCCTTGCAGTATTGATCTTTCTCCCTGTCTCGACTCCTTTTTTTCCATCTTCTCACTTTTTTGGTCTCTAATGTTTTTGCAGAGGAGTGGCAGTGGTGTTGGGTTGGGTTTGTTAGGATGTAGTGATAGATTAGATCAGTGTCATCCTATCAGACCCAATTATCTAAAAGAAATCGCCCCTGCAACATTCCAGTGAAGAACACCTGCTGCTGTTTTTTGTGTTAAATAACTACATGATACCTCACTGTTGGCTACATGATGGCTAATGAATACTGTGTTTCTGTTCGACAGCCAGAGAATGGCCTGAACAGCCAGCAGATGGACGACCTATTTGACATCCTGCTCAAAAGTGGAGGTAATGATGAGATCTCAGTTCAATGTGAGAGAGACATCACAGGTCGGTACGTCTTGATGACCTTTATTTCTCTGTCCTCCCCCAGAAATCCCCGGCTTCAAGGCCAACCCGGACCCTTCCCTCCCCCCTCTCCACTCTGACCCACCTTCTCCATCCAGTGCCCCATCCCCCCTCCACCTGTCTCCTCCCACCCCCACAGAGGCCTTCATCTCCCCGGAGTCTACGGTGGGAGGGCCCTGCTCAGGCAGCGGGCGTCTGGAGGACTTCTTGGAGAGCACGACGGGCACCCCACTGCTGGGCATAGAGTCCGACGGCGGCCTGGCGCTGATCGACGACCTCCACAGCCAGATGCTGAGCACGCCCAGCATCCTGGACCACCCCCCCTCCCCCATGGACACGTCTGACCTGGGCTTCTCCCCGCATTCTGCGGGGCTGGACTTTGGCGACCCCAACCTGGATAGCATGGACTGGTTGGACATGGTAGGGAGCGCAAGTGGAGGTAGCGAGGGCAATAGAGGAGAGCGAGGAGGTGGAGACGGAGGGACGAGTTTAGCTCCGTTGGCGCCACACACTCCGCAAAGTGTGTTCTCAGCCGACTTTCTGGACAATACGGACCTGCAGCTGCACTGGTAGCCACGTCTGTAGCACCTCACTCAGACGCACACAGATGAACACATGGTCGCTCACACTGTGTACAGGCTCCGTCTTTATTTCATGCACATACTCTATGCTGTCTCTACCACTGCGGGGGGTGTCTGGCACATGCACGCGCACACACACACTCTCACACATTTACTCAGTTTGTCTTGTCTTTCACTGGCTGTTGCTGTATGCAAGGTGAGGTGGTGTTAAATTCATTGAAATTACTTGGTGGACCTGAAGTGGACTTGTAAAGATTTTAACTCTACAGGGAACCAAAACGGATAAAATCCCATTTCCCGTGTCCTGACCTGCATTAAAGCCAGGTTTAAGTAAACCAGCCGAAAGTTGCAGGTCGCTTTCAACCCATTTCAACCCTCAGTAAACAGCTGGACAGATCAGAGGCGAGAAGGGACTGTCCGTGATGTTTTCCTGGGCTCCTAGAGATAGCAGTGTGTGTCAGTGCCTCCTAAACTTTGCACTTATGCTGAATCTGATTGGTTTAAAGGGTGGGTGTTTAGGTCAACAGCTGAGTGAAAGCCACCTAATGTTACAATGGTCAGCTGAGCCACTGATTGTTTTTGTTTTTTTAAAAAAAGAAAAAAGGCAGCTGCTTGTGGCCTCACCATGCCAACCTAAACCCCACCCACACTAGTCAAAGATACAACCTTCATTGGTTGAGAGTTGCTGTTGAAATAAACCTTATCAGTGGCAACAGTTTGAATTGAAGCCTCATTGGAGGTTGCGTATAATTGGTAACATTATGGTAGACCACTATGTATTGCTGTATATCGGGTGTATATTACAATTTGTCCATATGACTATTTTTCTTTGCTGGTTGCTTTAGAGTCAAGCTAGCCGGCTGGGGGACAGAGGGGGAGGGCGGGGCTTCCAAGAGAACTTGGACCTTGTCATTTTTTTAAAGAAAAAAAAGATTAAAAAAATAAACATACCATTTAAAAAAACCCTCTAAAGATGTGTTTCTTTTTCCTTTTGATTTTTCACATTAACAGATACACTTATTTCATCTCAGCTTTGTGATTTAAGTAAGCGTGGTAATGAAATTAAAGCCACAAGAGGGCGATGTTGCTCAAAGAATAAAGAAAGCAGCTTCCATCTGGAACAGGAGGGTATTTTCCAGAAGTTTGCTTACCCTTGTATTTTTTATTTTTCGTAGTGCTAAACAGACCTGAGCACATTTACCAGTTCTTTGTTTGGTGCTGAAAGCCACGTTTAACTGGATTTTTTTTGTGTGCTAGTTGTCACAAATTTCAAGCTGCATTTCCCCCACAGCTGCTTCTGAATGAAAACACACCCCTGCCTAAACGGATCAACAACTAGGCTTCTCTCAACCACCTGAAAAGTTTACTTTTGATCATCTCGGGCAATTTATTTTGAAGGAACACTATAGATCATTTCTGTGGGACAGTCGGCAGGTTTTTGAATCTTTAAATATGTTTCAGAGTACATGAGAAAAGCCCAGCATCAGCTGTTTAATAAAGGCTTCAACTGTGGCATGTATGGATCTGCAAAAAGTAATGGTGTAAAATTATTGGCATTAATAAAAAGCCACTAGATTACAGTGTAATTTTGACAAATACGTTTTGTCACTTATACAAATACCTTGGGTCAGACTGTCACAGGTGTTTTAAACTGTACTATATATAAAAAATACATAAAATATTGTATTATGATAGAAAATATATAATACTGCTAAGGTGCTCTATATAATGTGCCTCATTCACCCATTCATGCAAGCACTTTTTTCCATGTGTATGCACTTTCTGTCAAAAAATATACCGATGGATGCATCAGAGAGCAACTAGGGGTTAGTATCTTGATCAAGGATATTTGGGAGTCTGGAGCATCCATAAGTTGAACCTTCATCACTTCTTCTTTCTTTTCTCTTTAACTTCTGCCTCTAACGTCCAGTTTGACTCACTCACTATGAGGGGATCCTTGTCAATGACGCTGATGAGCTCTTGGGAGCTCTCGTCCTCTCTCACACACACAGGAACTGCAACACATGCAGATAAACAATGCACAAGATCCAAGCATGAGCCAGCTCAGTGTGCTCTTACAAATTCCTTTCACACTCACACATACACAGGTTGCCGCAGCTCCCCAGAGCAGCATCAGTACCATCTCTCTCTCACCCATATACAGACAGAGCAGATAAAAGTCCCGAGGCCATGCCTCTAATTAGCTACAGTGAGCTCTAAAGGGCTACAGCACCACAAGGACTAAAGATCTCCTCTGTATCCCACATCCCTCTGACAGGAGCCTGCCACCCCGCAGCCAGCCGTCACACAGGATTTTTAGTCACACATTCTCAGAAAGCCTTTTACCACCAAATTATCATAGCTGGTTCTGACATGCCCAAAACTAAACTTTCACTTTTGAAATAGTTTCAGCACAGGCTTTATTAGGTACACCTGTTCAACTGCTCCTTAGCATAAATATCTAGTTAGCCGATCATGTGACAGAAACTATACATGTAAACATGATCAAGAATACGATGACCTGCTGAAGTTTAAGTGAGCTTAAATGTAGCATGGTTGCTAGTGTCACATGTGCTGATATACTGCCCCACATAAAAACATCTCTATGGTTTACAGACATTTGTCTGAAAAAGAGAAAATGTCCAGTGAGTGCTCTGGGACAAAACGCCTTGTTGATGCCAGAGATCAGACAAGAACGGCCAGACTTCTTCAAGCTGATAAGAACACTTGTTACAACCAAGATATGCAGAAGAGCATCTCTGAAAGCGCAGCACATCAACCATCAAAGGACGTGAGCAGCAGATGACCCCACTAGGTGCCACCTAGTGGCAGCTATAAAAAGAAAACTAAGAACATAACGGTGAGTTCACAGCACTCAAACAACCTCTACAGTCACCACATGTCAGTCCATTAGAGCAGCATTTTCATGTGTTGGAACAGGAAATTTTACATGATGAACGCGAAAGCTGACAAATCTGCAGCAACTGTGCGATGCTATCATGCAAATATAGACAGAAATCTCTGGAATGTTTCTAGAACCTTGTTTAATCTGTGCCATGAAGAATTAAGGCAGTTCTGATGGTAAAAGGGGGGCTAACCTGATGCTTGCATAGGGTATATACTTGCATAGACAGTATATTTGGAGTCTATAACTGACCCCCCGTTATACAGTTGATGAAATTATGTACTGGGAAAACAGCACTTTGCAAAATCACAGTATCACAGAATGGATGTCTGTGTTTCTGTGTGGTGGTGTCACCTGTCATTACTCAGAACAAGGAATTTATTTTCCAGGCACTTCATGATGATGATGACTTAACATGAAGATTGCCTCTGAAGCGTCCCAGTGCTGCTTTATTACATCACGCTGAGCCACAAAATTACAGAAAACCAAATCACAACACACGTAATGTTGAACCGATCGTGTGTTTCAAACACTTTTTTTTTTCCATTTTTTCATTGTTCCTTTGTCTTCACTTGTTTTCGTGTGAAGCTGGATGATGTGAGAGGAGCAGTCAGGTTTGGGTGGATCCTGCTGCGACTGCAGAGCCTTTGATAGCAGAAGATGTGAGGGCTGACATTTGGGTGGGCAGGGGGAGACGGAGAGGGGATCAGTGAGGAAAATGGGAGGCAGAAAGGTGCTGAGAGAATAGACACACTGTTTTGCTCTACACCTGCTCGTCTGAAGGAAAACAGAGCGTGGAGGCACAAACGACAAGAGAGTGACGCGGTCACAGAGAATGGTTTGCAAACGTTTCAAACTAAAGTCTTCTTTTTGCTGCTTGGTATTATTGCTAGCTACACCGCAGTATAAAAAAGCCAAAATATAAATAAATGAATAAAATATCTATTCGATCTCTGGCTTTCTTCCACAACTTGTATCCTATCCTCACCCCCCCAACCAGTCGGAGCTGATGGATGCCCCTCTGTGAGCCTGGTTCTGCTGGAGGTTTCTTCCTGTGAAAAGGGAGTTCTTCCTCCCCACTGCCAAGTGCTCACTCAAAGGTCGTGTGATTGTTGGGGTTTTCTCTTTATTATGTAGGGTCTCTACCTTACAATTTAAAGCGCCTTAAGGTGACTGCTGTTGTGATTTGGCGCTATATAAATAAAACTGAATTAAATTGAATGGATGACAACCTTTTTCAGTGAAGGTCTTGCTTATTTCAGCAAGACAATTCCAAACCTCATCCTTTGTCTTTCATACATATAGTGCTGAGTCCAAATCTGCCCCTCCCTAAAAAAAAAAGAAAGAAAGAAAAAGGAGGTTATTGTGTATTACCTGAAAAAAAAAAAGATACTGGAAGATATAACATCCACAGGACAAACTGGCAGTGTTGAGGGAGGCAAAAACTTCTCTAATTCTCAGAGAAAATGTAATCTGACATGATGAATTTAGCAGGATCTGACTGCGCTTTGGGAGGGACAGCTGGGCTCACGGTCCACTGGACATCATATAATCGAGGTCGGTGTCTTTTAACATAACCTTGGGACAGCTAAACTGTGTGAGGCAGAGTTATGTAATGCACTCACGATGGCCTGGTTTCGATGTTTTTGTCGAACTCCACAGATGTTGGTTTTTACCTCAAAGCATGAATATGAAGGCACGGCCCTCCGCTTTCTCCATCATCGGACCGTCATTAGTATGGACCACAATTGACACAATTGACTTTTCTTTCTTTTTTAAAAAAAGAAAAGCTTGATATTATAGTCCCGAGAAGCACAGTCACTCCACATTATCAGAACAACACATGCATATATCACAGGTGTCAAATCCATCTAATATTATATTTCTGTTTTTTAATCACAAACCTCAGATCACTGTTTGTTTCAGTGATCTGATGCAGGATCAGTGAATAATGCTCAATGGACATGATGAAAGGGCAATATGAAAGCAAGCTTATTACAATGGAAGCATCAATTAATTGACTGGTTGAGCCCAAACAGCCCTAAGCTCTCAGTTTAATTGGAGGGAAGCGCTCGTTCAGATGCTTGGTGAGAGCGAGATTGCAGAGAAGTAATCAGATTGTACTCGGAGTCACTGGCATTCATTAATACAGTGATGTCAGAGGGATGTTGGGTACAGTAGATAACACAGTGTGAGAAAGTAGACAAGATCACTGATCCGTCAGGCAAGGATTCTGTGATGTTTTTGCATCAGAAATCTCACCACAGCAGGTAACGTTTTCAGTTTTCTGTTGTGCGAACTGTAGCCTCAGTTTTCTGTTCTTTCCTGACAGCGGTGACTCCTGATGTGCTCTTCTGCTGCTGTTGCCCATCTACTTTAAGGTGCTTGATTCAAAGTCACGCTAATCACTTTCTTCAGCACGTTATCATGACCATGTTAACATGTTTTTAGAGCTCTGTTGTCCTGACAGAGAGTTATAAAGTGGCCACTGCAGTAATTTATGCTTGGTGATATGGCTCACCGCTGGTCAAAAGTTTGAAAACAACCCAGTTTTTTATCAGAAGTTATGCTTTTAATGTCTCATTGCACTCTGAAATGAAAGCATGGTACAAATACTTAGTAATGGCTTTCTTGCTGCAACTCATCCTGTCAAACCTGTAGCTCGAAGTCTTCTCTTCACAGTTGAAACTGGGACTTGTTTACTACGAACACTATTAAGCTGCTGTCATGTGAACAGCCTCTCTTCCATTGCCTTTTTCTCACCAATTTTGTAGCAACACACAGTACAGCACTGTTTAGCTGATGCTCACGAGGATATGGTACCACAATGTGTTCCAACACTGCTTTTATGCAGACAGAGGGGGTTCAAGAAAAGTTTGGAACACCTGTAGGAATTAGTAGCACCAGGTTTCAAGGCTTGATCAACCTCCATCACTGCAGAATAGCTTTAAATTATAATTCTGAAATGTACATTATTTTTCAGTTTGGAGTAACCTTAACTTTTTTTAACCTCTGGCAGTTCACCATCACTTCAAGCTAATGGCAATAGGTCAAAAAT